TATCTGTGAATTTACTCTGGAGATAGGCCTCACAGCTCTTTCTGCAGATATGGTGCAGGATATTTCCCATTAAGAGAAAACATGTCAGTCTTTGCAGAGCAATAATGAGAAGATGGTAGAGAGCGAAAAGCACGCGACCGTTTTTGCATGAATATGCATTGAGACGCTGGTGGATTGAAGCTGAGATTGTAACTAGGCTCAGGTTTAGCCCTCTTTTCCACATTCAGTTTGTATTTAGAGCACTTCACTGCCAGGTAGGATCTTTCTGGGTTAAAAAAAGAAAAAAAGGGTTTTATTAAAACTTGTGCAAGAGCTTAGGTTGGCTTGACTTGGCAGTTTGGATGTTGTCACAGTGGGTACATTTTCTTTCATGCTTTGGAGGAAAGAGAGGAAACTTGGAGCCCTTGAACCTGCCTTGTCCCAGCCCTTTTTGCAAAGATCTTGTGCAGTTCTCGAGCACAGGCACAGGGTTGTGCCCAGCCCTTTGTCAAGAGACCATTCTACAGCCAGTCCAAAGCTATTGCTGAGCCTCCTTTTCTGTGCTCAGTTGAGAGTGTTTCTGACTCTGAAAACCACTGTTGGAGACCCCATTTTGTGCCAGTATTTTTAGTCAACAATTCTTGTGAATGGAATAAATCATAGAATCAGAATCTGAAATTCATCCCTTGCAGTTGCAGGTCACCTTCAGTAGTACGTAGCCTGCTGCAGCTCAGCTTCTTCACCAGTGGATTAATGTTTGAATACTGTTGTCCTAGTAACCTTGGCAAGTGCCAGCACGTTAGCCAGCAAGAGTTCAGTCTCGCAGTCACACACTGGAAAAGAGTATGAGATGTGTTTGCAAAAATCATCCAGGACATGTGGTTCTCCTGCTCCATGCTGAACTGAGAGAGACACTGAAGATGTGCAAATTATCTCCTGTAGAGAAAGCCAGCAGGGAATATGTATTTTCTGTTAAAACCAACATTAAAACTGGTGGGTCTGATTTTTCACAGTAAGGCAGCTAAAAATTGAGCCCTGAAAGGCTTTTTAGGGAAGCTGTGAAGGACTTTTTCCCTGTTACCCTACAGGCTTTACTGTCATTGGTGGTGTTATGCAGCAGAAATATATACTGCTGTCATTTCAGAATGCTGCATTAAGCAATTGTCATCAGTATACTTCTATCCGTGATTTCTATCTGTGCTATTCAATTGCCTAAAGTGTAGTGTTTTTTTATGAAACTATTTAAGGCTAAATTAAACTGGGTGCTCCTTATGCCTATATATGTCTATGCCTATAAAACAACAACAACAAAAAAAAAAGGATGTTGGATAATGATGAATGAGAAAAGAATTCATATATGGCTTATTATCCCCAAATGCTGTTTTTCTTCTTAACTAAAACTGGAAAAATATTAGTACTTGTTCAGGAAAGAAAGGACTGGGGAAGGTCACTGAAATACATCCTGATAAGCTTTGTTTCAATTTTCTTTAAAATATTGAGAAATAGTAATTTCCAAACATAAATTTTACTTGGAAGTGCATGCACTGAAGTGAAAAATCATGTTTTGTTGCTGAGCATAAAGCGCTGTCATAGAGTCCAAAATGTTTGCGAAGGGCCCTGGGTTAGTATGCAGTTTGGGGCAAATCATTTAATCTCTTGGAGACTCAACTTTCCTCAACCATGAGTTGAGGACAAGGATGCTTCTATAAGATCCTTCGGTATTTCCCCTCATACCTTTTTCAGTTGTCCAAAGAATTACTAGGTTGCTTGTTCTTACTAAGCAAATGACAGTTGGACTGTGGTTCCCTAGTAAATCAGCCACCCTCTGCTGTGGTTTGTTGGTTGCTTTTTCTCCACCAGGCTTTGTATGGGCACACTCAGGCAGTGACCTGCCTTGCTGCGTCTGTGACCTACAGCATCTTCGTGAGTGGATCCGATGACAGAACCTGCATCATTTGGGACCTGAACAAGCTGACGTACATAAACCAGCTTCCTGCCCACGAGGCAACCCTCTGTTCCGTTGCCATCAACAATTCAACAGTAAGATCTTCATTTATCATCTTTCTTCTGATGTATCCATGAACATTTCATGATAATTTAATGGGTGCTCTTCCTAACATAAAAACATCCTGAGAGTCTGATACATTGATTTTTTTTTTTTTTTTTTCTTTCTACAGAGATTGCTAATAGTGTTCTTAATGATGAGAGGCAAGCACTAAAAGCAACATCTTAGACCAAGTAGCTGAGTAGAAGCATCTTTGGATGGGTAGATAGCAGGACTAAACAACTTTCAGTTTATGGAGGATGAAGTATTACCCTAGTAGCTCCTGGATTTGGCTCACCCATAACCTTATTGCCTCCATTATTTCATTAATTTCTCCTGACATTCAGGCAGCAGAGCCATGTGAGCTGAGACATGTTAGACCTCAGTCTGCCGCCTCGGCTGACAACTTCCTTACACCTTTGTGGTGACAATGTTGGCTTTACTTTCCCTTCTACTCTCAGGTGTGGGGGTGGGGGGCTCTTGATAACAGTGGGTATAAGTCTGTTGTGGTCTGTGCCGGGCCAGAATTGCATGCATGTTGATAGGAAAACATTCTGTATTGGTTTTTACAGTAAACGCTCTGGATAAGATTTTTTCCAACCTTCTACCTCCCAAAAATGTTGCTTGCACATTTGTATTTTCTGTCTCTGTTAATATGCTAGAGCAGGATTCCAGCTGCTCAGACAATGTCAAGATTGGATCCAGTACCAGAGCTTGTACCGAGAGGCAAAACTGAGTTCGTAGCAGTAAGAAACCAGGCAGACATTCTCTACTTAGTCTGTGCAAGAATAGTCATCTCGGAGCTTTACTAACCATGCTGTCTGATGGTTAGTAATTGAGGATGGTAACTAAGTAGCCTGTTCAGTGTCAGCCCAGCTCCCAGCCCCAGGGGTCCTGGTTAGTACAAAACAGACAGTGGCTTCAGCAGGCCAGTTCAGAATACCCTGGTGGTCCTTTATGAAGTCAGCTGAAGCAGTGCCATGCTTTCAGAAATGAGTGGGTCGGCGGGCTGGCACAGACCATGGGCTTGAGACCCCAGGAAGATGGAGTCCTCTCTTTTCTATGTACCAGCCCACCATTGACAGTAGCCTCTTTGGTTGGTAGCTCCTCTTCTGGAGCTGTCCAAAACCAAGATGGTCTATGCCAGGAACAGTCTGGTGACTGATCCAAGAGCAGTTCTCCAGCTCATTGGAGTGCAAATGGTTAAACTGATCAGACAATAGTCTGCAGAAAGGTTCATTTAGAAGAGGAAAAACCTTAGGAAAGTATGACTAAAACTTCAAGGAGAAAAAGATGAAGGTGTCCATATGTTGTGGATGAAAAAACTGGTTTTGACATTAGCAGAACAGGATGTTTAATTCTGATATGTGTTTTTGTTTAAATTTTATATATATATTT